ATCTACCCTATCTCGCCGGCGCATCATCGTCCACAGCTACACCCAGCGCCGTATCAAGTGAGACAGAGAGAGAGGGCAAGAGAGAGAGAGACGGAGAGGGATAGACAGAGTGAGACCGAGTCTTCCCCTCTGGGCCGGTTCGACCTCCGCCACGATCCTCTCCACCTCTTTTCACCTCGTGTTCACCGATGTCCTCTTCGTCCTCTCCTCTCCGACTTTGTCCTTCTTCTTCGCTCTGCCCACCCCCGCTCCGTGTCCAGTGTTTCACCGGCAGAAACGCGTCGAACCGTCAACACTTCAACTCCCACGATCCCCGCGTGCACACACGGATTTCCTCATTAACGCGCGGGTATGTCGCCGGAGGATCGATAACGGAACCTCACCGGTGGCGATCTCGCCGCGGTAGGCGGTAAGGTTGCGTGTAATTGGACATTTTCGTCGTCCGGGGTCTATCTGTCCCGCGCAGAACGTAATTGCCGTCCAGGCCCCGGCTCGATTGACGGTAGAATGGTTTCCCGGTTGCCCTTGCTTTGACGACCCCGGGCGATCGGCAATCGGACGCCGGATATTTCTGTTGACAAGATTGCGTTCCGATCTGTAATTGATCGGCGCGCGTCGGGGATCGCCGATGGATCGCCCGACGAGATCCGTTGGTAAACTTTGCGACGGGATCGAAATGTCTCGACCCGACGTGTCGTTTCCATCGGGTTTCACGCTGGAACTACCGAGCAGTCGGATCGACTTTGTCTAATTCTCTCGTGGTGACTGTAAAACCGCTTCTATCGGGATTTCGAATGATTCGTAACTCGGCCCGAGCGATACTCGACAATTGATTACTTTCAGCTAATAATATAAGCCGGCGAGTATCATTGAGACATCGATTCGAATTCCCATCGCGATAGATTACGCAACAACCGATCCTTACCCGAGGATAACAGCTACAGACATCGCAAGCCGAATAATAAAATACATGAAATTCTCCACTAAAATTTCTCAGCACGAACAGTTCAGACGTTCCCACCCTTCCGCTCGAAACAGGCAGAAATGAAATTCCTAGAACGCTTTACGATTCTTTTTCCACGCTGCCGGTCCAATCTCTTATGGTAACACGCAATTCATCGCTCGGCATAAACCGAGGCGCGTTCAAGTGAAATTCCACGGAACAGCCCGTAACTCGCGAGCCAACCCCCGGCGCGAGCTACACCCGAAACTCGCTGCTAAAAGGCTCGACCGTTGAATTCAATCAAGCGCGTACAAGACCGAATTCGCGGCTGGGAAACGCGAAGGTAGACAAGACGTTGAGCGCGAAGGTAACTGGCGGAGGACGAACGGGGGAGAGGGCGGCAGGAGTTACGAGCGCCACGGGGCTGCGCGCGCCCTGCGACTCGTATAACATCGTAATCGCAACGACGGTAATAACGTCCCGTAAAGTCTTTTTACATAATCAGCATTACTCACAATTTAGGGGCGGAATGGGCCACCGGGAAGATAGCGTTCCCGGTCGACCGACGGCGGCGGCGGCGGCGGCGGCAGGGCGAAGGGGTGGCTTGCGGCTTCGCAGCACGGACTGCAGCCCCTCTCCCTCTTCCATTCGTGCCTTCCGTGGCCGATGACGAAGTGGGCATAACCACGTGCTCGTGGATACGCTAGCACTGCCGAGGGTGTGGGGAGAGACGGCGAGGGAGGGGTGGCTGGTTAGACAAACGAGCCCCTTGCGGGGTGTTCCGAAGGATATCCTACCAACCGAGCGTATCGTCGGCGCCTGGCCATTGCCGGCAGGATGTGTAATAGTATGTACGTACTCGCGTAATATTAGACCTCCCTTCGCAGTTTGTCAGCCCGGTTATTCCGGGAGTAAGGGGAAATGATTAGCGATTGTTACTTCTGTTATTCGTTCAATTTAGGGTCGGCCCGACACGGCCAGTTATATGGATCGCGCGTTCCCTTTATACGGGCACCGCACTTCTGAAAGAATCCTAATGGAATTGTAGTATTTAGGAAATACTTAATCGACGAGCATTTTGGGAATACCTGTAGGAGTTTAGGAAACATATCTATTCCAGAGTAGAAGTTAATTAAATTCCTTCGTTTCGGTAAGAGTAGTTCCGATTTTCATCGACTCGTGCACAGCATTATTTGAAAGCTTCAGTCAATAGTGTGGACTTATTAGATGCTCGTCGGTTCTCTCGTGAACAGCATAGTCAAGAAAGAATTCGGAATAACGTGCAAATGAAATGGTATGTACAGTAAATAGCTGCAGGCGAGCGCGAGGCGCGGCGAACAGGTATTACCTCTCGCGATAACATCGTATCGCCTCTAGTCGTTATCTCGAGCGATGCATTTACGTAACTCTCGTGCGGTCGCTTCGACGTTCATCCGATTCGTCGGTACAAATACGGAGTAATTACACCTAACCATTTTCATTGCCGTCTGAACTTCGTTCTTTTGCGCCAGCAACGGAAAGGAGGGGGACGGCATCGCCGGTTCAGCGGCACGGTGCTTTATATAACGCGGTATACGTGTAATGGTATGTAGATATTCCGTAATATTACACGCCGCTTGCAGTTTCTATGCCGTTAGCTCGGGCGAGGGGAAATGATGAGCGAGAGTTACCTCCATTACACGTTCAATTTGACTACGGCGCTGCCGCTCGTGTTAAGACCACCCCACCGCCGGCCCCTACGCCACCCCATATTCGAATATTTTCCGCTGGTTACGTGGAATTATGCGCCGCCGTCTCGTCCCTCGTGAAACGTGCAAAAAAGAAAGAAATACTTCCCGGCGATATTGCTTCAGACACCGTGTTCCTCGCGTCTTTGTGAAACGGTTCAAGTGTACGTTGCACAGTTACAGAATTAGATGAAACAGTTGAAGTTTCAAGGATGCAGCGTATCAAAGAGAGAGGATGAATTAACGGCATAGCGCAGAGATATGAGATCTAGTACGAAGATTCACGGTAAGTAGGAAAATAGACGAAACAAGGTATCGCAAGCTGGAAAATTAATATCAAGCGCAGAAAACTCGAGTAAAAGAAAGACGATAATCTATTCATCTGTCCCCTACACTAACGATCATCGCAACTGAACATGTAGCGATGAAAAATCTTCCGAACCGAGCGAATCCCATCGCAACGCTGTTAAGCGATCCGAATTCCCGCGGAACCGACCAAAATTTTCCAATTAGCCTGACCGCTAATGCGAGTACAGGCACGGGACGGCCGATTAACATACTTAACTTCTCAGCCCAACCGACGGTCTAGAACTACTCGGTACACGGTCCCCTAAACGCGGCACGGCAACAGAGCGCCGTCGAGTAACAACGATCGAACGCTACGAGAGACGCGGGGGTGGAATCTGCGGTGGAAGCGAAAACGGTGGACGAAGAGGATCCGAGCGAGGAGCGCGGGGCAGAAAGAGAGCAAGCGCAAGGTAGATTCGCAGAGTTCCCTAGGATGTTTGTCTTGGAGCCGATGCAGGAGAGCGACGCTAAGTTCAGGAAGTGGGATTGGACGACAGAGGAGAGCAAGCCGGAGGTGGTTTGGTAGGGGCCCCGGGGGTTGGCCGAGGTGGTAGTCAGCTGCTGTCAGTCCAGTTCGTCCGTCCGTTCGTCCGTCCATCCGTCCGTTCTGTGTCTGTCCTGGCTCGTGGTCCGCAGTCCGTTACAGCCAGACACAAACCCCACCGCCTTTCGAGGTCGGAGGTGGATACACGCTTTTCTACTTAGCGAACGGGCACCCCCAAGGGGGTTGAAGGCCGAGACCCACCCTAATTGCGTCCGAGAGACCGGACAAAGCGGGACTCGTGTATGTGTGCGCGCGCGGGCGAGCCCACGGCCGCAGAGCGTGAGCGAGACAGAGGAGGCGGAGGAGAGGCGAGGAGCCACGGCGCAAGGAACGAGGGAACCTTGGGGTGGGACGGCGGAGGTGGTTATGTCCGGAGCCAGCCGTTCGGTTCCGGTTCCCACCTCTTGTCCGTCGGCGTACTGCCCTCTGGCGGTCGACACGGTGTACTACAAAGTTTGGCGGACTGAATAAACTTGGCGGCCGACCCTCGGTGGTGAACTTGGAAAAACCGGACAACCGAGCCCTCCGAGTGAAAAGCTCCGGCCACGGAAATAAAGGACCGGCCGAGGATGAACGTTCCCGTCTGATACCACGGTTTGCTCGCTCCTCCCTTTCGCCCGCGCCCCTAACCCCCGTATCCTGCCCACGCCGAACGCCTGCTATAACATTCTTTGCCGCGTCCGTTCCGTCGCGATGAAACGAGGGGCGGGGCTGTTTGTCCGCGACGGTCAAAAGTAAAAGTTCTCTTGATACCCTCGTATTAATGCTCGATACTTTCCGCCTTTTACAAGCCGGCCGAGTCGGCCCGGCTTTTCAGACTTTTTAAGAGTGCCAGCCCTCTCGCGCCCCCGTTCGCCGCCGACCCGGCAAAGTTTTAATGTAACGGAGGAAGAGCGTGAGCTCGGGCTCTTCGATGGGTCAGAAGTTGACTCGTCGAGTTTAGCTACGTGGATACGGGACCTATTAAAAAGAGGTGAAAGGAAAGAGGGAGACGACAGCACGGGGAATTAAGTTCTTCGCCTATTTTTTCTCTGGAAGTAATCCGGTTGCCGCCGGACGGGAACCCATAGACGGGGGCTCCGTGTTACACTATTCGTGCGCCGTTTACGTAATGTCGTTATGAATATGCATATTGATACGCCGTTGTAAGTCCTCGTATTATGCGACGTTATAGCTAAGTGCATTAAATAATAGCGGCCCGCGACTCTATACGCAACGCGGCGCTCGCTCGCTCGCTCGCAAATTTCATTCAAGCATTATCGGTAATAGCGTGGTACAGTCGTTTAATAAATGCGTCCTCGGATAAAATAAAGCAGCCTCTTAAGCGACCGTTATGGCCGTCTATTCCAGGCTGTTATGTTTGAGGCTTTTATATCGGCGGAGGTAAATACTGGGGCTAAACTGATCTTATGTGTCAAGCATGCGAGGATCCACTAACCTTATTTCCGGATTACGCGATATCCGTTGCGGCTGTAACGCCTGCGCCTTTCCCGTGGGAATTTTCTTTCTCCTTTGTGAATTCCTTGAACAATTGAACGTCTAGTTAACAAAATTTTCTTGTTTCTTTCAAACGTGATTTTAAACGATTTTGCAAACGCTGTATAATCATATTACCGTGATTAGCTTCATTACTATTATTGATATATTAATAATAATGTTTGAACATAAGGGAATGCAGTACTTTTTCCCGCCATTACTCTAAAAGCCGAATTGAATCCACCTGATACTTAGGGGATTTATTAACTATGAGTATCTATAGCTTATTATATAGTATTAAGCATCCTCTGTTGAATACAAAAATTAAATAGTATGAACTCCTAGAAGAAAATAGAGATAGTAATTAAAAACTGTAGAAAGTAGTGTAGAATCTAACCTTCAATGCAGAAATTTCAACTTCGCCGCTTCTGCAATCTCAGCCAAAGCACGATTACAGAATTAAACAATGCAGCAAGCTATTATGCATTCCAGCACTAGGATCACAATATGATATTCAATAATTACAACATCATACTAGTATTTAAAGAAGCCTTTACAGGGAGCGATTACGATCTTCATACGACACACACTTCAAACACAGACGTACAACGTGATCTCCGTCTTTCGTCAAATTAATTCGAAATTACGAACATAGTTGGCGCTAGTGTCGCATGATCGTGCAGTGGATGGTGAGCAAGACCGCCATTAAGAAGAAGATTAGGAAGGAGAGGAGATCAGTTCGCGTGGAAATCAGCGGGAGCGGATGGAAATGGATGGAAAATGGGCCAGTGAACTCGTCTCCGGCGGTGTACAACGATCGCAACGGTAAGTGGAAGCGTTGATTTATATTATTGCGTGGAAACTTAATCGCTAAGCGTTTCGAATTCGCGTGTGTCGCGCGCGCATTGTCGGGCCGCATACGGTGAAAGCAAAGAAGGGTTCAAAGAATATCATTGCGTGGCAATAAATCTATCTACCTATAACAGTCGAGGCAGGGGTGAAATCGTGTCGTAAAAGAAAGATCGTAAGGTGGTCTGGAACCGTGCAAGAGTAGACAGACACCGTGGCGGAAGATCGACGTCGAGTGGAGAGCGTTGCGTCGCGATATAGCCAGCGCTCGCAGCGCCATCTACAGCCGAAGGAAAATTCGATAGAGGCGGAGTCCGAGGTGCGGCCTATCCGCATGCTCCTCCCATAAGCTCGAAAGCTGCCCGCGGGCACAGTCGCCGAGCGGCGCCTATGGATCTCAGAAACTCGCGCGGCGAGACAACGTGGCGCTCTCTGACGGCGCGTTGCGCAAATGAACCGGCACCTATTCCACTGCCAGGAGCCGAGACTCGCGGACCTATCGTCCTTTGCTCCTTGTTCATTCGGGCTCTCTCTTTTAACCCTTTGCACTCGACAATACTTTTCGTTGTAAATATTTATTATGTCCTGTTGAATATAGATAATACTGTTAGGAAAAATATAAAGGGGAAGCTTATATAAATTGAGGGTTGAAACTAATTTATTTGAGTTCATGTGTCGATACCTAATGCAGAATTGAATATTGAATCTTTGATTCTGATTCGTCTTTAAGTTTAGGAAGACTGATACTATAATTACCGAATAATTACCAAGTCTTGTTTATACAAACTTATACTTTCAGTAATTGTGAAATAGAAATTTTGAAATGAGTCGTTTTAATAGTTTTAATTTTTACCGAGTTCTTAGGGATATCTAGCTTGATGATATTAATATATGTTTGTAGATTTAAAATAGAATCATCGAAGTATGATTCCGTCATATTCGATCGGTTATTCAATCGAGTAAAATTGAATCAGTAATATCGAATTTCTGTCCGACTAACTGGTCGCATATGATCCACTTTTTCCAAGATGTATCGCGACGAGTTTTTATCTTTCCCTAAATGACGCTTAATTGGTAAAGAACGGTCGAGCGTTGGAAGTATACCGCTGAGAATTA